TTCATTTAATTTGAAAAAGTAATTATTTAACTTTCTTTTTCACAAGAGAAGAAAAAGTAAATTTAAAAAAAATGATGACTTTATTATTTTCACACAGAATTTACTCCTTCAAAGTATGTTACAAATTTATAAAGTCTTTTTTATGGCTTAAAAAAGCACATATGAAAAATAATATATTTAATTTAAAATTGGAGAGAAAATTTAAATGTGATTTTAAAAATACTGTTGAATTACCATTATTAAAATTATTATTATTTTTTTATGTTTTGAAAAAAGATTAAACATTTATTTAATTTACAGTGTATGTTTTTTCCATTTTTTCCTGATTTTATATTCAGTTGGTTTTTATTATGTCTTTATTAATTAATATGCAGTTTTTTACATTTTCTTTTTATGGAAAAAAATTTGTGAATTTATATATTCAAAGCTCACTTTCTTTTCAGATTCGCTTTGAATTCAAAAAGATATAATCTTAATTTTTCAAATAAGAAATAAATAAATAAACATATACTGGCATTTAATTTAATGAAAGAAAATTGTGAAAATTCATTACTCTCTTTATATGAGAAAAAAAACGCTTCTATCTTTTTGTTTATAAATTGAAAAAGGGAAAAATAAATATCAAATTAAAATTTCAGTTCGTCGGGAGAATATAATGTTTTATCAATGTACACATGTTACACTGATGCAAAAAATTTATAAAAAGAGATATAATTTTCTAGAAAATTTTTAGTCAACTAAACCATTCTGGTTTACAAACCATTCTGTTAATTGGAAAACGGGAAAAACTTCTATCTTCTTTTTACACTTTTTAGAACTAGAATAATTTTTTTTAATTTTTAAAATGAAAAAGAGCAGAGAAAAATGTAAAGGAAAAGGAATTCATGAAATTTAGTGGGAATTGAAGAAGAAATAAATTGGATAGTGTTTGAAACAATTTTTTGGTTTAAAGTACAGAAGGAGGAGTGGGTGGAGTTTACAAACATTTTATGCATTCTGCTTTTATAATAATATGTTTGGAATATACTACATAACTTTTGGATTTCGACTGCTTTTGCCCTGTTACCGCCCCTTTCGCGTAGCGTTACCGAGATTATTCAAATGTACCCCACCGAGTGGCACTTCCGGAATAATATATACTACCACTAACAATGAATATAGAATTCTGTTATACGCAACTTTTCTTTTCGCGATTTAAGCAAAAACAATGTTACATTTTATGTACGTTTAAAATAAAAATATATTACTTATTTAATTTTAAAAATATTACGTTTTTTGCATCGCCCTACCTTTCCTTGGCATATTTAAGGGGAGGGTAAACCTATATTTTCAACTATATAAAGAAAATATTTTGAATATTTAATAAAATTATTTGTATACTAATTTTTTGAGAGGAATTCAATGGTCATTAAAAAAATTAGTCAGACAATATTTTGACACTTTTTGAGTTTTTATTTTTTCTTAAAATTGATAGATTTTCAAATCCATACGTAATTTTGTAGAAAATATGTTTTTGTATACTTAAAAAAATTGCTGAATGAAAAAATTAATATTTACAAAAGTTTTAGGTTTTAGCATTTAAAAATAAAATAGTTTTCAGGTTAAGATAATTTAAAAAAATATGATTATTATTAAATTTTATTGTACGAAAACTCATTTGTTTTTTTTCTAACTAATTTCAGAACAAAAACTTTTTCAAAAAATTATTAAAACTTTATTCGATAAAACATTTTTTTTGAAAAAGTTTATGTTTAGAAATTAGTTAGAAAAAATACAAATGAGTTTTCGTTTAATAAAATTTAATAATAATCATATTTTTTTAAATTCTTAACCTGAAAACTACTTTTTTTTAAATGCTTAAACTTTTGTAAATATTAATTTTTTCATTAAGCAATTTTTTTATGGATACAATAACATATTTTCTACAAAATTACGTATGGATTTCAAAATCTGTCAATTTTTAGAAAAAAGAAAATTCAAAAAGGGTCAAAATATTTTCTTCATATAGTTGAAAATATAGGTTTACCCTCCCCTTAAAGACATTCACAAAATATAAATCTAATTTTATGTAATATTTTAAGAGAAAAGTGCGAGAAAAAATAAATAATGATGACCCAATAATCACATGTTGTTTAATATTTTTAGAAAAAAAAATAAAAGTTCTATTTTACTTGAATATGAAATGACGTGAAGTGACTGTGACATTCGTATCCTTCATTCCAAGTAGAAAAATCTTATATAGTCGGACATACATATAAAGTTTAATATTCGAAAGTTTAGATCAAGTGGAGAAGCCTAATTCAGTCAGACTTTACACTCGTTAAATTTTCAACTATTTATCCAAAAGTAGAAAATTATAATTTTAATAAATTTATTGTTTAAAAAAAAGTAAAAAAGTATTTTTCGATTTTTTTGGAAAAAGCCAAATCGAAGTTCAATTTAAATGGTTATTTAAATTATAAATGAAAATTTTTTTAGTTCTTATACAATTTGATGGAAATAATTTTTTAATTATTGTATAGTTTTATAGAAATAATTTATTTAATTATTATATAGTTTTATATAAATAATTTTTAAATTATTATCAAACGATTTTATAAAAAATAATCTTTATATTTTATTCAATTAAACCGAGAATGTACAAATTCAATCCAAATTCAAAAAACTGATTGGATTAAAAGTGTAGATTTTTTTTAACAACATTTTAATAAAAAGGCAAATTAGACGATGAACAAGTAGAATTTTTAACAAGAGGAGAAATGTTTGAGTTAAAGAGGATCCTTCAAAAATCCCTTCAATCAGCTTTTAATATTATGATCTCTTATGAAAAATATTAAAATATTTTAAAGAAAAAATTAAAAATATTTAAAAAAAATTTAAATCAACTTCAATAAATTTTAATCAATGAAATATTTCCATATTATTTAATTATCAAATAGTAAAACGATTTTGGTTTATATACACACTTTTCATATATGGGAAGGCTGATTCTGAAATTTTGCCACGATTTCGATGAATAAATTTGAATTCATTAAATTTCATTGTAAATCAATGGAAATCTAGTCAATTTTCAAGGGAATTACTAATATTATTTATTTATTTTTTGAAATTTTCGCACATTTTTTTACTCTTTAGTATAAAATAGAGCAGAAAAAGAGAGAGAAAAATAGATGAGTCAAAATTGGAAGCTAAACGGAAATTTTCTATTTACATGTAAAAATCAAACAAATTAACTAATTTAATTCACCTTGTAGAATTCTATCTTCATTTATTTAACTATCAGAAAATGAGGATAATTTCAAAGAGTAAAAAGTTTTTGGAACAACTGTACTTTTTGGAAAAAAGAGCAAACTACATGGTTTTTACCAGGTTTTAATGAATCTACATCAAGGTTGTATTTTGATTTTAGAGCTAAATGAATATTTATTTGTTGCAAGTAAATATATATTTGTTGCAAATAAAATTGTAGATAAAGTTGCAAATAATTACTTTTTGCAAATACGTTCGCACGTAAACTTCTAAATCACATAAAAATTTTAGTGAGGCAGAATAAAATTTTATTTGGTTCAAATTAACATTATATATTTATGGTACATAAAATTTTATTTCCGCCAAATAACAATTTTTATTCGAAACAAATATAAATAGACTAGTAATCTCTGAAACACAAATATAGTCTTTTCTTACGCGGTGCAAAAAAGGGCACTTTTTTGCACCTTGTTATGAAAAATATCGTTCGTAACTAGTGCTAGCAGTTACCAATTTTTGAATGAGCACTTTTTTTGGAACAAACTGTAGGCGAAGCTATACAGTTTGTTCCAAAAAATGTGCTCATTCAAAAATTGACAACTGCTCGCACTCGTTACGAAATATACTATATTTGCTTCAAATGAATTCTATTTGCTTTCAGTAAAACATTTTTTAGAAATATAAAATCTTATTGTCATGTTTCTATTCTCTTTTTTAAAAAACTATTTTTCACAATTTGCACATTGAATTATTAAAAATTTCAATTTTTAAAAAATATTTTTTCCTTCTGAAAAGTTTATTAAAAAAAAATTTCATACAAATATTTATTTATTTAAATATGTAAACATGTTTTGAAAAGTAAGAATTAATAATATCATAATTATTTAAAAAATGATTTAAAAAAATGTTTTAAAAATTCTCTCAATAAGAGTGAATATAAAAAGAACCCACATTCTAGACTGATAATATGATTATGGTGTCGAGTGTATAAAGTGAAATAAATTATTACTCAGTATATGCAACTTTTATGTAAATGTGGAAAAATGCAAAGTGCATCTGAAAGCGTGTTTCCATCAAGTGATTCGTCTTCTTTTTTTGCGTATATTTTTTTCTTTTTTCTCTTTTTTTTATTAAATACTACATTGCAACAACACACAACACTGTACTCATTTTATTCCAGGTCACGAATATTCTACCAGAGACTAAAGTACCTTTGGGAAATATTTGCTCTTGATTGTCTGTTAGTGCAATCGGTCGGATCAGTCAATGTCATCTCGGATGTATTCTTAATCAGTTCCTAGTGTGAACACATGCGAGCTTATCTATATATACCGTACGCTAAATTGTGATTCATTTTTCCAACTTTTAATCTGAATATGTAAATAAAATATGTTCGAGATTTTTTTTTCTTCATATATATAAAATTCGAAGTCCGTTTTTATTTTTAAAAAAATTCTACTATTGGAGATTATTATTTCTTGAACCAAAACTGAAAACGCAATAAAAAGTTTACCTCCTATTGAAAAGATGTCATTTAAAAGTATTTTTAATAGCAGATTTTTTTTAATTTTCTCACTCTACTTGAAAGTTCTTAATTAAAACATATTTTCTTGTAAGGATATGTTAGGAAAATTTAATATTTCATAATAGACGTTTTCCGTCTGTTTTTATGAAATTATAAGTCGACTTTTCTTTTATAACTATCGTTTGCGAGAAAATTACGCGAAAACGACCTTTAGTCGTAAGTAAAGGTCTACATTTAAAACCATACCGACAAGGGTTGGGACTTCATTTAAAACCATACGTTAAAGGACAAGGTATTAAGAGACAATGTACGAAAAAAAAAGTTTAAAGCTACCTCAACGAGCACTTACTGATCTAGATTTACTTAAATATGCTAAAGAAATGAAAATTCCTCATTTTCGAGGAGTTTTTATGCGAAATGAACTACCTATAAGAGATCCTCGAAAAAATGAATCCGCCATTATTAATTTAGATGATAAAGATGGTTCTGGAACTCATTGGGTTGCATATAAAAAAGTTAATAATAAAGCAGTATACTTTGATAGTTTTGGAAATCTTCAACCACCCTATGAACTTGTCAATTACTTAGGTTACAATACTTTAATACAGTATAATCATCAAAATTATCAAGATTATAATAGCTTTAATTGTGGTCATTTATGTCTAAAATTCTTATGTGGACAGCTTGAAATAACTCAAAAATATATTCTATATAAGTGATTGTAAGTCATTGCAGCTAATCAGTATATAAAAAGTCATCAACATGGAAGAATCTTTTACTCTGACTATCTCAGGCAATTCATCTGTCCTGGAGGCAGAATATTTTCCTCCGATAGAATTATTATCTAATAAAAATTATGTACTTGGCTTAGTTGAATTACTAACCTTCAATTCAATTCCTAATATTGATCAAGGTAAAAATAAATTTTATATTGGTGATAAAGTGATTACTATACCCCCTGGAAGCTATGAAATTGAAGATATTGAAAAATATATTCAAAACTCTATTGAAAATGGATCTGAAATTGTAAGAATCAAACCTAACAATAATACTTTACGTAGTGAAATAACAAGCAGCCTTGAAGTGAGTTTTGAACAAAACGATTCAATTGGTAAATTATTAGGATTTACTCCACGAATATTGACAGCTAATATACCTCATACGTCAGATGTACCAGTAGCCATTCTTAAGGTAAATGCTATCAGAATTGAATGTAACATTACTACTGGTGCATACATAAATAATAAAAAGGTACACACAATTCACGAATTTTTTCCAATTGTACCAGCTGGATATAAGATTGTGGAAGTTCCATCTCACGTCATTTACCTTCCAATCGCCGTGAAGACAATACATAATATTCAAATAAGAATCGTTGATCAAGACGGAGACTTAATAAATTTTAGAGGTGAAACTATAACAATTCGATTACACGTTAAATCAACGTAATGGGAATTGTATTTCATAGAAAAACTGGTGGAAGCTATATAAATGAGTTACCATGTCAGAAGTCATTCATTCCTCAATCAGTTCGCAAGAGACTAACATCTCAGAACATACTATTTCTGAAGCAGCTCGGCCTAAGAGTTTATCAAGAAAACAAGGGAAAAAATTAATTTTTCACATACTTTTTATTTGTTGTTGTAACAAAAATGAAAGAGATTTTAAACATTCTAAGTCCAGTAAAATTTGATAATTCTGTGGCACACTATGAGATTCATGCACATCAACCATACGTGTCATCAGCATTTAATAACAGTGACGAGATTCGAATTGCAGTTCAACATCAAGACTTGTACATTCTTCCCTCTAAAAGTACTCTACACGTCACTGGAAGAATTGTTAAGCCTAACAATACGCTTGTAACTAATACAAAGTTAATTAGCAATGGTATTTCCTACCTGTTTAATGAGATTCGTTATGAATTAAATGGTGTTGAAATTGATCGCTCCAAAAATGTTGGTATTACAACCACAATGAAAAATATAATTTCTCAAACACCTAATCAAATGATTTACTCTGAAAATGCTGGTTATCTACCTTATGATGATGATGATAGCAGAGTAACAAATGATGCTGGATATTTTGATGTAAATATTCCACTAAGTATGATTATTGGTTTTGCTGAAGACTATCGAAAGATTGTTGTAAATGCAAAACATGAACTTATTTTAACAAGATCTCGTACTGATCTAAATGCTGTAGTAAACATTGAAGCAGCAGAGCGTGAAGAATTTAAAATTATTATTAATAAAGTTGAATGGTTGATTCCATATTTAATGGTAAATGATCGACAAAAAATTGAATTATTGAAATTCATTGAAAAAGACTCACTTATAACAATGAGTTTTAGATCATGGGATTTGTATGAATATCCTATGATTCCTGCCACTCAAAAGCATGTGTGGACTGTAAAAACTTCAACACAAGTTGAAAAACCTCGATATAAAACTATGAAGATATTGCAAAGTTGAAGTAAAATGAAGGATTTTAATTCAGCTTGAGATATAAAAAGAAAGGATAAAATCAATGTGCAAGAAAGGTTAGAATGAAAGGGAGAAAAAAGTTTGCGGGTTTTGCGCTTCATGACTTAACACTTGGAGTGAAATTAATTCCTTTCAACTATAGAGTAATTTCTCGTTTTGTTTCATCTTCTTTTATTTTTCTTAAATGTTACCTAGTATATAACTGTATATACATATACATTTTTTGTATTATTTTCTTTTTTGCAGTCCACTTAAATACCTTTTTGAGGGAAAAATTTTACTGTCGAGCTATTTCTTTCCTGTAGCAATGAAAAATTATTAAGAATGGTTTTAAATTTAAAAAATGTTATCACAATTCTACTGTGAATTAATGTGTGATAAAAAATTTATTTTATCTTAAAAACTCTTTAGTTGCAAATCAGTATTTAAATTAATTGTTTCTTATAACTTTTTTGATACTTTTCTCCCTTAATATTCTGTAATTCCCACTAACGAACAATAAGAATTTTTCTCTTTTTTTCTATCTATTCTTTTTCCCAAGTGACACTTGTCTCGTCAGCAAAAAATTTTGTTTGCAATTTTTTTATCTCCCTTATTATTTTCTCCTTAGATAATGAAATTTTTCTCGATCAATGAGAATTTTGTTTTATCAATTTCAAATAATTGGAATCATTTTACCTTTTTTGGTTAGGTGCTTGATTAATCTATAGTGGAGGATAAGATTCAAGGATTAGAATTTTCTTTTTAAAAAGTTCTCTTTTCATTTTATTTTACGTGTGACCTAGAATGATTATGTTGAATAAAAAGATGGGAAAAATCTTGTTTCATTTTGAAAACTGTGGGAGTATCAAGAAATGGTTGAGGTAAACCTGGAAAAGTGATCTACTTTGTTTTTATTACCGGACGTGCCACACGTGTTTTATGGCCATTTTTACGGAGCCTTTAAGTTTGAATGCGTAGTGTTATAAGCCTCCGAGATTTGAGAAGCTGACATCTCGAGGCAAATAAAAATTGAAATTAAGCTATGAAATCTCATCTCAAATGTTGAAATTTTTAAATAAATTTTTTTTTTTGTTAAATTGTGTTTTACTACTAAATTCTTCAAAGATTTAAACATTTTAGTAAAAGGATTATTTTGTAATTTTTATGATTAAAATTGTCTGGAAAATATTCTTTGAAATTTTCAATTAAATGCATAATTCAATGGATAGTTTTTGAGATGTACTACAATTACTGAAGGGCTCTCTGATCCTCGAAGGCTATTAGCTGGTAGTAGTTGCTAATAAGCGGTCTTAGACGATAGACCATTATTAGGCGTCAATGTATTTGTGACAGTCGAACTCCGATAGAAGACATTATATGGATCCTGAATAGATGACTCAGCCTAAATAATTGAATAATTAGTAGTTCTATACATAAATTTGTGATGGTCACCACAAAGTTCTGCACGTTTATCAGCGTCATATAAATGTGAGTGTTTTTTATTTAAAATTAAAAACTTTTGTCTCAAAATTTTATGTTGGAAACTGTAAATAAAGCGTGAAAATAGTTTTTAATTATTTAAAAAAAAAAAAATAACCTACTGTCAAATGAAAAATATTTAAAATGCCCATTTTTTCAAGCCACTGACTGTACCTAATGCCTTAGTATTTAGGTATTAAATTTAATTACTTCCTATTAAATATAAAGTAAATTATAATTTCAATTAATTATTCAAATGTCCAGTACTGATGAATTCGTATTTCATTCGGAGCATTAATATTTATTAAAGACAATTTAATCAATAAATAAATAATGTAGTTCAACGAAGAAATTTTTTGTCTTATAATTAAATTTAATTCGTTAATACACTTATTGTTCGTGCATAAATAAATAGGGTAGTAATTTTATCAAAAATACCGGAAATAGTTTGATTCTTTTGGTCGATTACTCAGAAAAAATTTGTTAATTCACGTTCCTTATTTTATGAATAGTGTTCCCTAAAAAGTATAAGCAATTCTCGAATATTGTTAGATCGCTTTTGTCAATTGAACGGGGTGGTTCTTAGTAATGAAATTTATTAGAGTATGGTTTTTAAGTTATATTTTGTGGAAGGAAATTCAAGAAGTTGTTACAAGTAACAATTCAAAAACGCCTTCAGAAACAAGTTATTTTGATGAGCTTGTAAATTATCTAAAAAACGAATCTAAACTCTATCAGGTTGTGTTTATTCTTGATGATAAGTTTGATAGAATGGACCCAGTGATGAATTCTCTAATAAAAAAAGTCAACGAAGAATTTCCGTCTTTGAGTGTGAACTATAATGCAAGTAAACTTCTGTTAACCAGGTACCGTTTATTAAATAAATAAATATTTTAAATTAAATTTTTTTATGTTTCGATTTTTTATTTATGTTAGAAGTTCACTTTTATGTCGAAATTTACTAAATCAGAATGACACTTACTTTTAGAAGAATAATAAAGAAAATTATTTCTATTGGTTGTAGAATTTTTCAAGAAAGCTTCAAAAGGCATACACATTTAAGACGAACGACATTGTTTGTATTCCAAGCAAATAGTAATAGTTTTTTTGATATAATTCTAAAAAACCTGGAAACTATAAAAGGCGCATCAAATTTATCATTACCAAAGTGTTTAATTATTAATTCTTTTGAGATAATTCATGAATACCTTCGAAGTACCTTGCTTTCTTTTTGGAAAAAGAGTTATTTGGATGTTACAATTATGATATACAATCAAAAAGTACAAGAGGAGCCTTACTTGTGTCAGATAAATCCTTTTATGGACAAGTACATTTGTCGGAATATTTCATCTGCAGTTCAATGGTTTCAAAATAAGTTACGCGATTTAAATGGATTCAAATTTGATATGAATTTAGTTGCTCAAAATAGTGATAGAAATTCAAAAATTCATATAACAAGCAAAAAACTTGTACAAATTTTTGAACAAACAATGAATCTAAAACATGAAAAAGGAATAACAAGTGGTAACAAAAAAAGTGCACTAATGAATTTGCAGCAATTGTTTGTTATAAATAATCAAGAATTATTCTTCGGCACTGCATCTCTTCGAATTCTAAAAATTGACAGCATTCAAGCTGTCATTCCAAAAATGGAAAAGTTTAAAAAAGTTTTTGTTTTTTCATCTGAACTGTTTTACATGATTTTGGGAACAATTGGCATGATAGTTACCATTTCCGTCACAGCTTTTTTTATGAAATTTAATACAACTGTATGGAAAATGTGGAATATCAGTAAAATGATAATTGGAGTACCTTCAAATCAAGAACCAAATAAGTGGTCAGAGAGAATTGTATTCGCTTCTTTATTGATAACATGCACTGTTTATACGGGATATTTTTATTCTGTAATTTTGGACATAAGTCTACAGTCAGAAACGGTAATTTCAACTTTAGAGGAATTGGCTGATTCGTCATTGATACCGGTCGGAAGTTTTCAACTATGTCATCATTTACAGCATAGTTCTATTCCTCATTTGAAAAAACTGGGAAGTAAATGTCAAACTTTTAAATCCGAAATGTTAATAAATGAAAATGGTTGTTTAGAATGCTTAGCTAAGAATAAAAATGTGAGTTGCATGTATGCTGATGCTGAATATCATGTTAATTCTCATGTCAATGTAGACGAGTTAAATGTTAAAATTTTACCAGAAGCTGTTGACTATTATATTAACGCGTGGTTGTCAGTTGGTAATTCACCGTACAACGATCGTTACGATGAAATAATTCTAAAAATTTCAGAATTTGGGTTAAATAAAGATAATTATCCATCAAATGTACTATCTCAGAAACATTCGCCACCAGAGGAAATTAAAAAGTCAAAATTTCTATTTATTGCATCTTATGTATTAGGCATTGGATACTCTATTTCTTTTATTGTTTTTCTATTTGAAATATTAATAGGTTTATTGCAGAAAAGAATGTATACTTTTTACACACTTTTCAGATTGTCAAATGTATGAGATTTTTCTTTTTGAGTGGAATGTGAATTTTATTTTATTACTAATAAATAATTTAATCCTCGCTGACGCACAACTAATTGTGAAAAATTATGACTTTCATTTTTTTGTTCATTAAGAACTTTGTTAGAAGTAATCAGATAATATAATATCTGATAAAAAAATAAGTTAAAAGCTTATGGAATTTATTTAATAAATAAATTTAAATTTTTTGTACCACTAAATGCGTTTCTAAACGTTAATTTTTAATCCTAAGTTAATTGTAAAGACTGTAACTTTTTTAACCCTTTAAGAACCAGTGATGTTTTTAGGCAACATGAACATTTTTTTGTTAAAACGTGCATAACTTTCTGAATTTTAAAAGCTGAATATTCAAACAATATTTTCAATCTAATCTAGTAAATTTTCTATTTAAAATACTGTTGTTCAAATAAGAAACCTTTGAAACTTTTCCTGAAAAGCTTGTTTAATGTTTAAAAATAAAAATTGGGATTATTTAAGAAAATAATTGGGTCCTCAAAGGGTTAACTGTGTGTACAGATTTACGCATTATAAATTTATCTTCTTGACAAATATATCTAAATTTTATATACAAATAAAATTACATAAATAAAATAAAATTAATATAAACTCCATATAATTGTTAATAAAAATACGAAAATTGTTGACAAATAAAGTTAAAAAAAAATAATAAAAACTGTACTGTAAATAAGTAGCGGTTAGCTTCATCTCTTTATTATTTGAAAATAAAATAAAAAATTTATCTAAAGTAGGAAGTAAAATTAGGTCAGTTATGTATTTAAAAAACGTTTTTTGAAAAGTAAAAATTCACGTTCACTGAAAGTTTTAATTATTTTTCATTTTTAATTACAAAAATATTTATATTTGAACTTATCCTGTGCTTTACGCGATCATTCTAATTGCTTTCACCTATAATGGTAATTTTAATTTCTCGTTTTAAATAAAACTAATCTTCAAAACGAAAAAAAACAATAATTAAGTGTACTTTTA